AGTCATATTTCTTATGCACATGCAGAACTATATGATAAGGAATGTTATACTTATTGCTTCCAGTTATATTTACGTCTTTCTGTTCTGTAGACCTTAAGCATTTCCCCTACGTTTCCATAAATATTTTCAGTGTTTTCATGTTTCTTCATCTTCTCCAATTGACTTTAGTGAAACTTTTCAAAAGCCCTCAGGAAAACTAACTTAAGAACTTGCAAAAATTGTAGTCCTTCAAATTGAGGCTGTGTTTTGAGCCTCCACTAATTTATTTGCCAGTAAAACAGTCTTAAATTTATATAAAGACTTTAAAAAAAGAAGAAGTAATTAGAAGTATATCAAAATTATGATTTAATTTATTTATGTTAATGCACATTGCCTGGGGTCGACACTCATTGTTGTGCTGAGCTAACTGCCCACTCACAACATTTTATATATATATATATGTGTATGTTATTTTTAGTAAAATGTAACTTAGCAACGCGTCTTATCAGCTACCATCTCCCATTTTTTCAACCTAATCCCCCACGCAAAAAAATAATAGTGGAAAAAAGCAAATCTCTTGCCCGACCCCAAAGTCAACTGCTGTCAACATAAATCCATAGCAACAATCTTTCTCTTGTTACTAAGACTCTTAAATATAAATGCATAAAGTATGTTTTTTTATATACACAGATTAATTTATAATACAATTTGCAAAGCTGAACATTTACATCTTAATTTTTAATACGAATGAGTGAATAGAAATTGCTTTCAGATAACTGCTGTAACAATTTAGCCAGTGAATGGGGCAGGCAGTCGCTCAATCAGTCAATCATTCAGTTAGTCAATCACTCTATCAGCGAATTAGTCAGTCAATCACTCTATCAGCGAATTAGTCAGTCAATCAGTCACTCAGGCAGTCAGTGAATTGCTCAATCATTCTATTAGTCTGTCGATTATGCTATCAGTCAGTCAATCAATCAGTCAGTTATTCAATGAATCAGTCAGTCAATTAGACGGCCAAACAGGTAATCAATCAGTCAATTATTCTATCAATCAGTCAGTTAGTCAACCACTTCCTCAGTCACCCAGTCAGTCACTCAATCACTCATTCAGTCAGTCAGTCAGTCAGTCATCTTCATCATTTGCTGTAATCTAAATCATGTTCGGGCTGCAACTTATTTTCTTTCTTAAATATTTTGCACTCTCTCAGCATGGTTTAAGTCCTTCATATATAAGGGAAAGAGCTAATTGTTTTTACAGCTGACCTACATGAGTTGCTTTTAATTGCACATAAGAATTAATTAGTGGCGTGCCAGCAGCTACAGCAGAGAGAATGGGCAATAAGATGAGTGGCAAAATTGCGTGTAAGATAAAGCTGACAATTATTTCAGCTATTTATGTTTCATAACTGAAGACAATTTAAATAAACAAATTGCAAAGCTAACTTTAAGTCTTTAAATCAGCTAACCTTCACGATATGCCCAGTATCAGGTAGCTACAACTTTGACATGCATGTTAAATTTGTTGGTGAATTAAATTCAATTTATTCTTATTGAACTTTAGCTTAACTGGCCAAAATTATCTAGTTTAAGTATAAATGCTGCAACTGATACTTATCAAGAGCTTTGACATGCATGTTAAATATCAACAGTCAAACGTTAGTCAAGCTTTAGTCAAACTATCTATAGTTGACTTAGTCCTATATGTATTCCAACCACATATAGCCACACAGCAGCTCAGTCAAGTCACAGTCAAGCTGTCGTTGCCATATATATATTCCAACCCCAAATTGTGTAGTATCAGCACTTCAATTATTTACCCATATGGCTTTAACATGCATGTTAACTATCAACAGCCAACAGTAAATGTAGATTGACAAACCGTAGTCAATCTATAGTCGAGCTGTCTATATGGCATATTCATATGCATATTGCAATCTAACTATACAGCAGCTCAAATATTTATCCATATGGCCTTAACATGCGTGTTAAATATCAACAGCCACTTTGAACTAAATCTAGTTTGGCAAGCTTTTGGCAAGAGATTGTCAATTTATCGAGCAGGCAGTTTGCTGAAAATGGGTTAATCGACTTCAATGCTTGCAAAGTTCTTCATCAATGCAAGCGACGAGCAGAAGCAAATCTCAAATGGATTGCTGTCAAAACAAGAGAAAACGTGCACAAGTTTTTGCCGCTGGGCGTCGCAACGGGGCGTGGCACTGTTTCAGTAGAGCAGATGCCGTTCAAATCGAATTGTATTCAAGATGCTTTCACTAACACTAACACAAACTGCTATTGTTTCTACCGCACACAGAGGGAAATTGTGCTACGGTACTTGTTGTTCTAGTGTTATCTCTTCATAGAAGATATACACTTCACAGAGGCACATGCATAAATGTATGAGCGAGAGAGTGGTTGTGCGTGTGTGTGTGTGTGTGTGTACTTAATGGCAAGTATGTTTTGTCTGTGCGATTAATTCCATTGGCACCGATTGAAACTTTCCGCTTCAAGGCAGCAATAAATTAACGACTCGATATATATATATATATATATTTACACAGCGTCATGCATGTATCGCAAATGAGCACACACACACAGACACTCGAGTGTGTGTGTGTGTAGCATTAAGTGCATGCTTTAATTTACATATTCATTAAATTACAAAAGGATCTCACTGTTTGGCATAAAATCCACTCGCAAAATGCGAAAAACAAGACTCGCCTGGAGTCTAAGGGCATCATGTACCTATCCATGTCCATGTCGATGTTCATGTCCATGTTTATGTCCATGTTTCGCATCCGCATCCACATTCGCATTCGCTTCCTGTCGCGCAGCTGTTCGAACTGCCCGCCCAGGCGGATGATGAATATAAACTTGTGTTGCCCCAAACGCTGGAATTTGCATTAAGCCCATTTAATTATACTAAGCACATAGTAAATACGACGGACGAGCCTAGTTGCGTGTTTACATGCCGCTAAGGTGAGCGGCAGGCGGCAGGCTGTAGGCGGTAGGCGGTAGGCGGGGTCGGGTATTCGAACCACTATTACCCGCTGCACACACACTAGCCAGCACAGCATGCCATAATACACATACTCTGTGCTCAACTATAGCACTTACTCATATCTGAGTACATGCTATAGTCCTTGAGTATTTGCCTGCGGATATCCTTACGCACACTCATACACTGTTTGCACGCAGTCATAAATAATTTATGCCTCCGTGAATTGGTCAACTGGAGCCCGAAACTTGCCCCACTAAAAACAAACGAGCATCTCTGATGTCTTCATCTTCATTTCCATGTTAATCCCGCCCCTAAGTCACCTACACACACACACACGCACACATACAGCCTTATGTAGTGTGCAAATCAGCAGCTCGCCCTTGTTTCAATTGTTACGCCCTCGCCCCGTTGCCAGCTCGAGCTCATTTGCATCTAAGCTGGGACGCAGCCATTAGGCGCAACAGTCCCTGGGTTCTAATTAGAGCTCAGACCAAGCCCACACATGCAATTAATACACACACACACGCCCACATGTATCAAACTTTAATTTTACCATAGAGAATTGCCAAGTCGTTGTTTTAGATATTTTCACATTATCAAATGACACCAACATGCAGCATATAAATTTTACCTTTCTCCTGCCCCTTTTGGAATCTGTGTGAAATAGTTGATTAAATATTTAAGGTGTTTTAAGTAAACGTTATATAATTATGGTCGAACAAGATATTTCAACTAAATGAATTGTTTTCCCATTTCGGGTTTCACAAAACAAATGATTTACATTTCAGTGAAATGTGAAAATGGGAAAATGTGAAAACGTTTTTTAATCCCCTTTAAATAATTTCTATCTTGACATTTCCACATTTTGTATGCATTGCTGCAGTCAATTTTAAATGTGCTTATCATAAAAACTGTCAGCTATTTTCGTTTTTTTTATGTTCATTTTATATTTTATGATAATTACTATTGTGTTTTATTACTATCGCCAGCTAAGCCAACTCAGCCGGAAAACGTAACGTTTAATAGAAAAAAAATACACAAACAAATAATTTCTGCTGGCTGCGTAAAGTTTTGCCATCAATTTATAATTAATTCTGATAAGCAACAAATGTATTTTTCATTATTAAAATCATTATTTTCTATAAAGTTCAGTCATAAATAATATATCATTCAATTCATGCATAGCAAGTGGAATTAATATAAACTTGTTTAGGGTCCCCATTTGTGCCACATTTTGGGCAAAATAAAATGGAATTATTTAGTATCGCCCCTACTAAGCAATTGTCATGAATTCAACTATGTGTTGAGTTCAAATGCTTGCAAATTTATTGAAAGTGTATAATATGTATAAGGTTTAGCTATACAGACTTCAAAATAGTGTAGATGAAAGTGAACTATGATTTTAAGAAATTGACTTAGCTGTGCTGGCCATCCTCGTCGCTATTCACACTTTGTTCAGGTCTCTGTCTCCCTATCCATGTTGCAGTTGCTCGGTCGTTTAGCCTCTTTCTCTCTCTGTCTCTTACTCCTTATTGATCTGTTTCTCATTCTTCTAATCATTATCTCTCTTACTGTTACTACATATTTCAGAAATCTTCTGTCTCTGTCTTTCTTTCACTCTCACTCTCACTCTGTCTCTTTCTCTCTCTCTCTCTCTCTCTCTCTCTCTCTCTCTCTCTCTCTCTCTCTCACTCTCTCTCTCTCTCTCTCTCTCTCTCTCACTCTCTCTCTCAATCTCGTTCTACGTATCTGTGCCTCTCCTTATGTCACCTTTTCTCTCACTCTTTCTTTCTCTCTCTCTCTCTTTATCCCTAACTCTCTCTCGCCTTCTCTCTTAAGCTTTCTCTGTCTCTCCCTACATCTCTCTGTGTCTCTCTGCATATAGCTCTTCCATATCTTCCCTTACTTATCCCTTCGCCTCGAAATCTTTCGTTATATTCCATTTACTCTGACGCTTCTTATTTTCCTCCTACTCTTTTAGTCTTACTCTAACACATTCTCTGCTTTTCTTCTTCTTCTAGTGATGTGTCTGTGTAAAGCTCTGCTGCCTTTCTACTAATATTTAGCAATATAATAAACGTGAGCGTTTATGTGAATATTTGGGTAAGTTTTCATTTTATTTAAATGCAAGCAAAATCTATATATAAATATTTTTTCAAGCAACTCAGTTTATGTGCTGCAGTATTATAAAATATTGTTTATTATAAAAACCAACAAAGCAAAAAATCTTTGTTCAAAAATTTTATTGCATACTTTTCAGCCATTGTTGAGAGTTCTATGAAATGTGCAATTTTCAAAAAGAAATGATCAATAAAACATGCAAAATATTGTGTGAATACTTGCCTATAAAAACTGTTCTTTGTTTTCGTTTCTATAAAGGAACGAAACAACAAAAGCAAGAAATTGATATGCAAGCTATTATTAACACAAAGTTAAACTCAATTAATTAAGTTATGAAAGTTGTTTAGCATTGTGTGCTACGCAAATATATATGCAATACGTATATATATATAATCAGATATATATATATAAAGTGGGAGCTCAAGAAGGAAGGCTTCACAGCGAGCGGTCCACAAGGGGCTGGTATTTCAATTTCCTAGAAAAAGAATTACGCTTTCATTTTGTTTTTTAATTATAATTCACATTTGACCTTTTTCTGTGAGTGTGTGCTGAAATGATTTGTGAGTGTGTGTGAGTGTGTGCTGGCCTCTCTATTTGCGTGCCTGCAGCTAGGATAACTCCTGTGCCGTCTCGTCTGTTCAGGCTGCTGTCAGAGCTAGTTGTGCCTTCCACTTGCAAATGGCAAAGGCGAAACAAGCGTCACCCAGTCACCAGGCACCAAAGTTCAACTACAAAACATTTTCAAATGCCATTTAGTGCACCTAAAATACACACACAGATACACACACACACACACTCGAGCTATGTGTGTGGCCGGAACCATGGGCGGTGAAATTGCAGAACTTTCCCCTTTCATTATGCTGGGCAAAAAATAAACGAGGTTACATGCCTACTTGAATCCACAACCGAATGAGACACCGCCTGCCAAGCGCTTGGATACTCTGCTCCCATTTTTTTCCAAACTTTCTATATAAATATATATATAGACTTTTCCTGGTAGGACTTTTTTTTGTCAGGAATCGCCAACTTGGCGAATTACATTCGGAAATGCAATTTTTTCTGCTCTCTTTTCTAGCAAATTTTTGTCAATAAAGCATTTTAAATCAAGTTGGAAAAGGAAAACACAAACACACACAGAGACAGATCCTGGCACACATTGTAACAGTAAAAGTTCCCTCGGGGTGTGTGTGTGTGTGTTTTTTGGCTTTGGAGGGATATTATTAAGGTCGTTCTGTTTGTAATTAGAAAAATAAAATGATTTTTTGTACGCAGACAATATGAGAAAGTTGCGGCGCAGTTGACAATTGGATTTATGGTCCAATGTTCAGTGTCCAATGTCAGGGCAGAAATTTCTCTTTTCTGTTCGAGTGGCAGCGCTGCGGTTGGCCAACCCTAACATGAAATTATTTTCCTGTGTGCCCAGCATCCTGCATCTCATGCCTCAATTCTTTTCCAGCGGAAATCGAAAACAAGTTGACCAACATATTGAAGCTGGAACATGTCGCCTTTTTTCTTTCACTTTTATGATGACCAAATACCGAGCTGGGAAATTGCTTTTTAATAGGTTCTTTGTGGATTACTCATGCAATTTGTCAGCTCCCAAATGATTACTTATTCAGATTTGTTTGAATTAAGAGAATTATTATTATAAAGGGCCTCGAATTAATGAAAAAGTGTTTGGAAAGTGGAAAAGCAAAAGGAAAACGATGAAGAAATTAAAATTGCTGTATTGATATATTTATATACTGATATATTGATATATTGATATATTGATATATTGATATATTGATATATTGATATATTGATATATTGATATATTGATATATTGATATATTGATATATTGATATATTGATATATTGATATATTGATATATTGATATATTGATATATTGATATATGATATATTGATATATTGATATATTGATATATTGATATATTGATATATTGATATATTGATATATTGATATATTGATATATTGATATATTGATATATTGATATATTGATATATTGATATATTGATATATTGATATATTGATATATTGATATATTGATATATTGATATATTGATATATTAAAATCGAATAACTTTTCTTACGATTTTTTACAAAGAGCAAAAAGCTTTCAGGGAAAATCTAAATATTACCAAGTGTGAAGGAAAGATACAAATATGTGGGAGAAAAATTCTTAACAGTGTGAAAGTTCCGTAGACACCAAGAAAAATCTCGAGAGTGCAAGGAGTTCCTCATTCTGATTTATTTATCCAAACGATTTTCTTCCATTGGATTTCTTGAACTGAAATTTTTTTAAACCAAACATTTCATTCGGAAGTTTCTTTAATTTCCGCCTTGCTCTGTTAATTTCCATTGTTTATTGAAGAGTTAAGAAAACATGCCCTGTGAAAATATTCTAAAAAAAATAGCTAGAGTAAGCCAGCCTGAGTTAAAGGATGCATGGGGCAATAAGGTGATGCTTTTACCTTCTTTTTACAAATTCTTTTTGTATTTCTTTTGTTAAATGATAAAATTTAAAATGTCAATGAAGCACACAAAGTGTGTCGGAAGTAGAGACGAGTCAAAGCAGAAAGTAAAGTTTGCGTTAAAAAATGCAAAAAAAAAATATGATGAAGAATTAAATCAAGCAACGGCAAAGTGAACGAAGTTGAGTTTTTAATTATAATTGAAAGAGAGAACGTTGAGAGCTAGCTGCAGGGCCTGAGGTACGTTAATTATTTTAATGACGAAGGTCAAAAAGGTGACAGAAAGAAGGCAAGGACAGCTGTGAACAGACTAAGCCAAAGATAAACTTGGCTAACGGCTGACGTACAACCAACTTGTGTACATAATATATTCAAATATCTTAATTGTTAAACAGAAATGAAAGCAAAATTAAATGAAAGAAATTTTTAAAAAATAAATATTTAAAAATATAGTATGATTGAGTGCATTCAAGATAAATATCTGATCTATGCTATACTATATTCTATCAAATATTTTATTATAATCTCACACAACATACATATACTATTTATACACTGCTTATAGCTTTAGATAAAGATACTTACCCTACTTATATCTTTAAATAAAGATAGATATAGTCAGTAATATCCATCAGATTGAGATTTCTGTATCAAACTAAATTTTTAATCGAACATCAAATCTTCTTGTTAAATGCTTGAAATTTACAAGAGATACTTGTGTATAACTCCGTCTCATAATATATTCAGATTTGTTGTATACTTGCGCTATAGGCTAGAAGCATAAAAACCGACAAGTTCAATGACTCAGTTATGTAAAATTTGAGCTTCAAAATCGGACTTCGTTCGAGTGACTTTAAAAGCAGCGCAACTAAATAACATTTATGTCACAGTTATGTCTAGTTAGCAAGTTTTCTCAGCGGAAACTTTTCTTTTTGAAATATATGTTTACGAGCTGCATGAATATGGCACATATGTACTTAGGACCTTTTGCGAAACTTTCAAGCGTTACTCTCCACTCAGATGCCTTTTTAAGGGCGACTTTTTCAAGAAGTTGTCGTCCAACTTGGGCAAAAGCTCGCACTTTCGATGCTCCTTTTAGCCATAACTTTGTTCATTGATTGCGCAACAAAGCGATTTTTTAAGATTTATTTTTTCTCTTTCATTTTTTCCCTTTAACTGTTGAGCTAAGTATCCTTAAAAAGAAATTTTCCTCTTTTCAAAAGAAGTGAATGAATTTCCTTAAACTGCAACGAATTATAATTGAAGAGTTGATTTTTCTATGCAATTATTTGCATTAAATACTGGAAGAAAATTGTAAGTTTTTTAAAAGAAAAATTCTGGTAACTAAATAATAAATATTTAAAAAATATAATAAGCTTACTTAAGGCAATGCTTCAATGAATAAATTTGATGCACAGCTAGGCACTGAGGACTTGACTCTGTGATTCTTAGCTTAAAGTTTGCTCAAATTGTATATATGAATGTAGTCAGTATGTTTGTCACTCAGGTTGCCAGACAAATCAACACTAAAAACAGCTACACTTATTAATCGATATTTTCCAGCTATCAATTTCATAGTTCTATCTATAGAGCAGTTCAGTTGACACGTCTATTACTGTGATTCATCTCCCAAGCATCCTGATTTGAGCCTCAAAAGTATGCAAGATTTAGTTTTGATGCTGTTTTTTGATTTGTTGCCTTCAAAATGGACATCGATTTGCAGTTTCGATCAATCAAAGTAGGTCAACAGCAACTCAAATTTGAACAGTTAAATTTCTGACTTCTAGCTGTTATGCTGTAGAAGATATGATTTGCTTCGAAGTCGAAGTGAATATATATTTCATAAATATATACATGAAATTGTAGAAGATATTATGTTCATCAATTCAACATATTCTAATATTGATATATAATCGATATATATTGATCATTTTTATATTGAATTTATTTATCTATCTATAGCTGAGGTCAACAGTAAAGCACGAAGTTAGTATAATTTATCCCAATAACATCATAGCTTAACTATAGCAACAGCGTATAGAAATCCAGATGAAAATATATCTATATAACTTAAAAATATCGTTTCGAGGGTATCTGTGAGTTCATCATACGCAGCTCACTCGTTAACTGGCCAATAACACGCAATTGATGAGTCGTCTCTGGGAATTTGATGCGCTTCACTTTAAATGGCTTCGAACAATGACGACGCATTCAAGCAACGAGCAACACGCTGCATGCGGCATGCGGCATGCGGCATGCGGCATGCGGCATGCGGCATGTGGCACGCGGCACTCGTCTGCAGAATTCACAGGCAGCTTATAAAAGATAAATAAAAAAGCAGTTGAAATAAGAGGAAAGAAAAGCGCTGACAAGCAGGCGACACACAGGACACATTTCCAGTATGACAACTGTGAATGCAATTGGCAAATGCAACAATTTTTAATGCGCTCGCAACTTTTATTTTCGAGTTTTAATGCAAAAAGTTGCACGCGCTCGACGCGATGC